ACTCATTGACCAATCGAAAGGAAGATCGACGGTACACCACCCGAGCTCGGCACTGTAGTTGATTAGATTGACAAGACATAATTCCAAACAAATTCTATAAATATAAAGAAATGGTCCCCTACAAGGGACAAGTCTCCTGAAATCAAGGCACATTCACACAAAAGATACTTGTGACCCTCATTATCAAGAAAAGTGCTATTTTTCTTAAAGTTGGCTAAAAAAAACCGAACTTAACAATTTTTGACGTCAACAGTTTGACGCTAAGAGGAGGACCCTATTGTGTATAATAGTCTCATTTTTCCCATAAAAACAATAACTAAGCAAAAGCTATGAGCCGCAATTCCACTTCAGGGAGCCAGTCTCACACTTTTCCCAATGAAGCGCACAGTTTCTAGAGAAGACAAAGCCAAATTGAAATACGCAACCCTCAGATGACGGCCATGAAGGAAGCCATTGGAAGGTTAACAAACGCCATCAGCAAGCTCGAACAAAATCAATTTTACATTTTCCCACTCGATATCGAGGCGGAATCCCTACCAGGGAGAGAACCCAATGACTTTCCACCAGAAGGTCCTTCTACTTTTCAAGGGGGATCCTCCAAAAGTCAAATTGACGAAGTTAAAAGCAAGGTCACAGTGGCGGAGCCAGTCACTAGAAAGGCTGGAAGTGTGTATAACAGATTAGGTTCACGTCACTCGCTAACCCCACAAAGAAAACATGCTGAACATAACCTAAAGCCCTCACTTGAACAAACGGAACCTGAAATGAGCGCCTTGAAAAAACGCATTGCCAACTTGTAGGCCAAAAATGAAGGAGTGGTGGAAGAATATCTCACCAAATGCTACTCCCACTTCACATAAAACATTCTCGTCGAATCTTTACCCAAAAAATTGAAGATACCTCAGTTGACTGCGTACGAAGGGGATGGAGATCCCCTTAGTCACCTAGATAAATATTCTTCGTGGATGGAATTGCTAGGGACAAGTGAGCTATCATGTGCTGCACTTTTTTCCTAAGCCTGGGAGGCTTAAAGGTGGTTCAGGATATTACATCAAAGGTCTGTAAAAATTGGAATGACCTAGCTACGGTTTTCTTGGCCCAGTTTATGGGTTCCAAGGCCAGACTACTCCTAAAGAACGAATGGCAAGTATCAAGCAATGGAAAAGCAAGTCACTTAAAAGCTATCTTAGCATATTCAACAAACAGTCCATGAAGGTTGAGAAGATCTATGATGACACCGCCCTCATGGCAGTTCATTTTGGACTAAGGCCTAGGATAAGATTCTGGTGGTTGGTATACGAGGATGGACCCCAAATGTACTACAAATTCCTTAACCGAGTTGAGAAACATATAAATGCACGGGTTTCCCTTTTGCATCATCATCATTTTTCCATCTTTTTTCTTGATCCTACTATATTTTCTTGATATATCGCTTGTAAATCTTACATCATTACCTCATATGAACAGACAAGTCCCAAAATTATCCCAACGTTTCACTTGTTATGCTGCAACTACACGTCTGCAGTTCTAATTTCGTCGTGTGTGGCTCAAAAGTTGGGATGGGGACACATGATTCTTTGATCCGTGCCTTTGGGGGTTATGATTGTATCCCCAAAGTGTGCATGTCGTTCCTTGCCAAATTCTTGCATCTTCTTTAGATATGCATTTGCAAGAAACCACTATGCAAGGCATAATTCCAGATATTGTGATGGACCCTTCTACATGTCCTTTCGACAAACTCTTGGTCTACTTTTAGAGGATGCTTTGGATAAAGAGATTTGAATTTATCCTCCATTTCTGCCTCACCTTTTAACTCAAGACCCTTTGCAAGAATAAGGGTTGTGAAGGTGATTGAATCCTTGGGATGTTCCTTCTATAGTAGCTTTTACTTTACATAACAAGTCTTGTGACTAGTAGCATTTATTTCGTAAAACAAGCTTTTTGTCTATGCAATAATTATAGCATGTAAGCATTGCTCGCTTTTAGCTTTCTTTTTGATTGATTAAAAAAATTATTTAGCTAAACTCTTGCTTTGCAAATGTTTGTTCAATTTTATTTTCGATTTATTCATTAGATTTTAAATCAACTTGGATGGGTTCGCACAAGAAGAAAGAATTTTTGCGATCTACTTTATTGAGTTCATAAGAAATGACTATTATTTTATTGATAATACTTTCTTAAGTGCATACCATTTCAAGGATGTTTAAGAGGCTCACCATCTTTTCCTACGAGATTATATATTTCAGCTCCCTCCACTTCAATTACAGTATATGATCCTCTCTGTTTTTTACCAATCGAACTATAGCTCATTTCTTTGTTCGCAATGAATACTTATTTAGGACCAAATCCCCCGCTTTGAAGCTTTTCTTGCAAACTCTTGAGTTAAATATCTATCCATCCTTTTCTAATATGCCCCAAGCTCGACTTAAGGATCATCTCTTCTTTCTTCTAAGAGGTCCAAGCTCGTATTCATGGATTTTTCATTTTGTTCTTTGTCATACCCTATTCTTCTTGCTGAACTTATACCCATTTCCACTGGTACCATGCCTCCATCTAGTAGGCTAGAGAAAACGATATTTTTCCAGTGGTAATTTTTATAGTGGTTCGATATGCCCATCTGTCCACAATCCCTTTGCCCTATCGAGCTTCTTTTTAGGATGTTCATTAGTGTTTTATTGACAACCTCCACTTGCTCGTTGGTTTGAGAATAATAATGGTGAAAAATGTCTGCAAATATCCAACTAGTCGCACATTGTTTACAGTTTCTTTCCTTGAAATTGTGTTCCCTTATTTGAAATTATTAAGTTGGGTAATCCGAATTGACATATAATATTTTTCCATACGAACTTACAAGTGTTACCATAAGTAATGTTCACAAGGGGTTTGGCTTCTACCCACCTTGCAAAATAGTGCAATACCACTATCATAAACTTTTGATAGGATCTTCCTCTGGGCAATGGTCCGTGAAGTCAACTCCCCACTTGCAAGGCCATAGGCCATTTCTAGTTACCAACTCTTGTACAAGCTATCGAGAAATTGATGCATATCAGCAAAGTCCATTTCATCTTTTCTTATATTAGGCTAATAATATTCATGTTTCAAAGCTTTTTGTGCTAGAGAGTGTCCATTGGCATAATTGCCACATATATCTTCATGGATTTCTTTCATTATGCATATGCATCTGAGCATATAGAGTATGTATAATGGCTTGAATAAGATATCACTTGCAGCATATATCTAGCAGCTCTTATTCACATTTTTTATGCTATCTTTTTATCCTCGAGTAGTATTTTATCCCTCAAATAAGAGACAATATCTTGCATCCATGAAGTTTTGTCTTGTATGTATAATATTTTCTCTCTTTTCACCCATTGGTGGTTTTGTGAGCACTTCCATAGTAACAATTTTAAACAACTTTGCATCTTCCAAACTTGCTAACTTTGATAAAACTTTTGCACTCTTTTTCCTCTCTAGAAATTTGGACAAGTTCAAATTTGCCAAAGCATTGAAGTAATTTGGTGGCTTCTGCTAGGTACACAACCATTATTTTATCTTTGGCTGCAAATGTGTCATTTATTTGGTTTATCACCAACTGTGAGTCGCTTTTTATTTCAATTCTTCGTGCTTGCATTTCTTTCACCAATCGAAAGCCCATCAATAATGCCTCGCATTTGACCTCATATTTGGTTACTTTAAATGCAAACTTTAATGCACAATTCAATTTGTGCCCTTCTTCGCTTAATATTATGCCTACTCCTAAGACAGTATCCCCTAATGATCCATCCACCCCCCAACTTCCGCATTCCCCATTTGGGCTCTTATTTTAAAATTGGAACATCAGACAGTTTTGTAACGAAGTTAGCTAATGCCTGTAGTTTGATCGCAAAACGTCCTTTATAGTTCATTTCGAATTCCCAGCTCTACCCCCCATTTCATTAATTTTTTTTGACATGTCAAGCTCTTACAATACTTGTTTGAACTTTAGATATAGGGTCGTAGCTTTTGCAACGTCATAACTAAGGCAATATCAACTTTTCTATGTTTGGATACCTTGCCTTTGCTCCTTGCAAGGCTTTGCTCACAGTGTACTGGTAATTGTTGTTGTTCTTCCATTTTTACTAATACCAAGCTAACCGCCACCTTGATTACTACTAAATATAGCAATATCTTTTCTCCATTTCTTGGTTTAGCTAAATAGGGATGTTTCCCCCAAGGGGTATTTCAGGGCTTGGAATGTTTACTTGTATATCTTTCTCCATTCGTACTTCATTCCTTTCTTTAGCACCTAGAAAAGCTTGGACATTTATCTGTTATTCAGGATAGAAACCTACTTGGTGCAACGACCCTTCCTATTAGATTTTGTACTTTTTTGGTTTATATGAAACCGCATTTTTATGAAGGCTTGAATTAGTCGATATTCGCTTCAATACCTTGCTGATTGACCATATATCTACGGAACTAGGCTCGGACATGGCCCAAGGATAACCAAACAAGCGCCTAGGGCCTCAATAATTCAGGAGGCCTCAAATAAAAATGTTTCTAGCCCAAAACTGGACTCGAGACCAATACAAAACCCACCTAAATTCTCAAAATAATCTAGTTTATAGGGTTAAATATATGGTGAGAAGCTGATTCGTGTGGGTGTTCACATAAGAAGCAAATTGGTAGAAAAAATTACAAGTAATCGGTTCTTGTCCCTCAATATCTATCAGTATCACGTCTTGTATATTATTTTCAAGATTGTAGTTCTCCCTGTTGTTCATTCAATAGAGAATGACCCTAATTAGTAATAATTTGTGGGTTCCTCTTCAGCATTAACAGCCGGATCGAAGGAAGGCAATGCTAACCTGCTTTCACCTTCTATTTAAGAAGGAAAAAAATGTTTTTCGAATACGATTTCTTTCTCAGTTAAATTCTTAACTTCGCGACAAGTTAAAATTAGACCTCCGGTCGGCAAAATTGGGATTACACATAAAATATGGGGGTTGGGGGGGGGGGGGGGGGGTGGGGGGGGGGGGGGAGCGTACTGTACAAAAATCTCAGACCGCCACTAATCTCTGTTGAAGGTCTCGCGACATGCCTCAACATTTTGCCATGCTCAGGCACAGCATCTTCACCTCTAGATAAGAGTCTTCAAATTCATAGCCTCAAGTGAATTGCAATGAATCAGTGTTTGACTGAGGAAAATATATCATATCATGTCACTTTGGGCCATTGCGATGATTGTCGGCAAATTCTCTAATTAATTGCTTCAAAACCCGTCCCCCTTTTCCTTGCATATGCCCGTGATTGTTTCCCCCTCCAGATTGTCTGCTCTCGAGATAATCTGAAGCCGCAGCAACAAGAGCATTCAGCCAAACAGGCACTAGAGATTCAGCTTCTCCCTGTTTTAGGTACTCAGCAGGCAGCATTTTCACCTGAAATAAATTACCTCAAGCTTTCAATCTTAAAGAAAGGGTAAATTCCAAACATGAATGAGTGAGAAATATTTCAAATTGTCTTAGAACATGTCAAAAGTAAGTAGTCAAAAGCTGTTCAGGTAAAGGACCTGCTGCTTGATTACCAACAACAGCATAAGACCACTGGGAAGGACCAATTCAAGTTTTGCTGACATCTATGTAGTATGAGCACCCCTTCTAATGCAGTGTGTCATATCCGATGCCTAACTTCTTGGACACTCCAAGGCATGTCTTGATAAGCCAGATTTAGTATCCTATAATTTATATGTTTTCCAAGTTTTCGACACTCAAATTGATACTTTACAGACTCTACTCGAAGTTGTGTCCTACATTGCATGTGCTTCCTATATTTAAACCCAAGTGCCGACTTTGTCTTAGTGTCCTACCTTTTTTAAACATTGCGTGTCCGTGTGTTGTGTGTCCGTGCTTCTTAGGCTGCCATTATACATGCATGGTTCATACCATATGCATATTTCATAAGAAAAAGGCAAAAATACATTATTGACTGCTGAGTTACAAACATTGTAAATGCACAAAACAAGTGACTGAATAAGATTATAATGCAATTCAAGGTCCCACAAACCAGTTTGGTTTTATGTTACATAATCTACCGTAGAAGCTATTTTACCACTTTAGAGATTGACTAAAAATAACAGAGAAAAAATTAATGATTTGTATGGATTTGGCGAAAAATATACTATAGAGAGCCCAATGAAAGTTTATGTTGGTGCTAGAACAATAATTTTTTAAGATTTGTATGATGCAATTATAAGAACAGCAAGCTGTAGTAGCAAAAACTTCCTATTCCTAAGAGCTGTATCGAAGCACTACCCTGGATCCTTACTTTTTGATTTAATCATGGATGCACTCAGGGGACATCCAAGATGAAGTCCCCTGCACATGTTATGATGATATAATTTTAGTTGATGAGATAAGATAACAAATTCAAGTTAAAACTTTGTACAAACACATTGAAATCATAAGGATCTATGTTTTACAGATGAAATGCATATTGTCCTGAAGTGAATTTAGGTAGGTAGGTTTGATTATAATTTATTAAGAAGAAACGAGAAATAAAGATGATATAAATGTATATAAATAAAGTAGGTCGGGAAGAGTGGAAAAGTACTCAAGGATTCCATGGAATAGAAAGAAGTTCTAAGTAAAGATCATTCAATCAACAATCTTATGGTACCGAGTGTCCACCTGTTAACGAACAAAATCCACATAAAAAGAGTGCATTGGGCAGGGAGGGAGTGCTGGAATATCATTTTGTCATAAACTACTAGGAATGATTTCACTCGAGTAAAAAGCTTGGAAAAGATCTAAAACGTGAGTATAGCTGGTTTTGCAGCAAAACATTTGGGAAGGCACTTGTAAAAGTAAACCTAACACCTCTAGTGAATATCGACAAGGAAACAGACTTTCACTTACTTGGAGGCTCAAGTAGCACAAATGGCGAGAAGAGCCTTACAGTCAGGAGACGAGCTAAACCCAAATTGAAGTTTGTTCCTTGAAAAATTAATTTTAGTCTATAGTAACTCATGTATAAACACGTTCCAAGTTCAGAGAGAGATAAACTGGAAGTCACTAATCCAGGTAGGTCTGTTCTTTGTTGGTGGAGAGAATTTTCTTTGTTTTCTAGCCAGGGGGAGAGATTGTGGGAATCAAACTGCAGTTTGAGCTCCTTCAGAAGAAAAATCACTTGGAGAGGAACGACCTTAGGGTGAATTTAAACCTTTTCTTAAAGAAGTAATATGTAAGATCAAAGCAATTTCACACACTAGACAACTCACATCAAGAAAATGNGAGGAGGGAAGAGAGAGGGGCGGGATAGAGACCGCAGAATATAGCCATCCATGTAAAAGTTCCCAGCAAAGAATAGCCTTCCGAGTTGTTCTTTCACTTAAACTGCACATTGCAGCCAATTGTTGGAGTATTGTTGCGGATTTATGTACCTGCACAAAATGGCAAATTATATTCTGTCCCTTTATCTTTTTCAGTCGGAACCAAAACGAGGAAAAAAAATAACAATTCTACAGCTTTTATTGAATGTAAAATTTCATCATACAACGATGGCATTGCCAACTCGGTACTTGAATGACCTGAAAATTAATTTTGAATTATACTCCTATGGACGATAAATCATTAGAGCTGCATTAGTAGAGCAATCAAATGTATTCGAATCACGGATCATTTATGTGGCAGTTCTTTCTTCATTCAGTGTGAACCAAGAATTTGGCCTGAATAATAAAAAGCATGTTTTATTTTTCCAAGATGAACAGTCAAAATTCTACTTATTTAGACGAGTAGTTGTCCAGCATTCCATTTCGAGACACCTTCCGTGCAAAAAAGGTACATGGCTACCAATAAATCTAAGTTTAACCAGAATCATCATTAAAGAATGAAAATGCCAAGACACCTCACATGCAAAAAAAACCATATGGGTACCCAGCCAGCTGTCTATTATAAAAAATGCATCTCGGGATCGAGCACTTGTTTAACAATTCCAAGGTAAAGACGTGAAAGAACAATAATCAACTTTATGCAAGAGAAAATGCCATTCTCTCGACCATACCTTGAACATATACATCTAACATGTCACATAATATACGTATGTACAAAGCAATCTAGGATATTTTAATTCAAAGATTTCCAGATTTATTTTTAATAAGATCCCGTTCATATTTTTATAAGCTAGCTACTGCTAAAGCAATTTGGGATGGCACGTAAAATCTATAAACATCTGTCACCCAGGCCAGAGTTGGATGTTCAACAAAACAAAGGCACAAGGCCTTACTAAATCTACTTCCTCTCTATAAACCTAAACTTCAGAAATTTAAGGATCTAGACTTTACCCTTGACATTGCAGAAACACCAAGCAGGGCATACACCAGATTCGATACAAGACCCTCACCACTATGAGATATAACCCTTGTCACCATATCTTGCACAGATCCTTCAGATATACATGTCATAGATTCCACCAAAGAAGCAAGTCCTACATCCAAGAAGCCTGGAAAGGTAAAATAAAAAATACGAATTTATCAAAACTCTATCATGGTTACAAAATGGTTTATTCAGTTGCAGATAAGGATGAATGGAATGCGGATCAATAACATGCCACATGTTCGTGTTATAGAGTGATCGAGACTGGAAATTGAGGATTAATTCAACCAAAATGTTATACAACAAGTGAAATAAAATATGTTTTATTCTACAAGGCTTACATGACAAATATGACATTGCTGCAAGTGCCGCACCACGGTGCATCGCTGTAGAACATATTGCAGCCTTTTGCAAGGACACTTTGAAAAGGGAACCAGAAGACGCTAATACATCCTGAAATATATATGAAAGTTTCAACAGTACATACACTAAAACGGACTATCAGATAAGTTTGAGGAGATTAGGAGTCAAACTTCTGGAAATGTATTAATCAGCTCATACAATTTTTTTCATGAACACAAGCAATCAGAAATTTAAACATACAGAGAACAAAATGGAGACACCACCTTTGAACAGCTGCGCACATATGAAGATGCAAAATTTGTGTATGCCTCGACCAAGTCAGGCTCTTGATCACATATATATGAAGAAGTAATAGCCAATACTGATGGTGCACAAGTAAATCGTTCAAAAGTACTGATGAATAGAGATCCATATTCCTCCTTACTGCCAAATTCTTCAACAACAATGGATGCTGGAAAAAGTAATGGCAACAAGAAGAATGAAAAGCTAGAAAGGGGAAAGCAGAAAAAGAAGAAACCAACAAATAAATTGTTCAATTGAGATGCACGACAACAATACCCTACAATATAGAGTCCACACCTTGCATAAGCCACGACTATTGAACAGTTAAGGCAATGGGAAAAATTATTAAAAAAAAAAAAAAGGTGTTACGAAAAGAGAAAAACACGGTCAGCTCCACTTTCTAAAGTACTGCTACATGTGGTGATAAACTCAAAAATAAGTTAGTTTGCTAAAGTGGTGATTTGAGTAAGAACAAGCACTCATTTATGTACAGAACAAGAAAAGACTTTTTAGTGCCACAAGGTCATAAAGAAGAGATGTGTGGGATAAGCTGGCAAGAGTCCGCCATACAAGAGACAGAAAAAAGGGTCAAGGTTCATCACATCTCTCCCTCCCTCCCCCGATTTTACTAATGAATACCAAGAGTACTATTAATGTTTCACCTGTTTTTATGTAGCATTCATGACTAGGGAATGCTGCAAAGTTTGTTGAGATACAATCAAGCACTTTTGGCAAGAGTGTTGTAAAATCCTGACCTGAAATTCAACCAACTCAAATTTAGTGAGATTGGATAATAAATTTCACCTTTATTTCAAATCAGTCATAACTTATACTCAACAAACTATGTACAAAACCAGAATGTGTTGCCACAAAAGCATCTAATAATAGATTACAAATATCCTCACTTATTCTCCGGGCTGCATAAATTGGTCAATATTTATTTGCACCAACCATTTCCCTACCCTTCCAATAAGGTCCTTACTATCGTAGTAACATAACATTCTTCTATCCAAAGGAAACCTTGAGAACAGAAATTTCAGGAATTACGCAAAGATTAGAAAGTTTCTTAAAAATTCAACATTCATAGAATTTATTAGGAAGTTACTAATAACAGATTGCAATATCCTCACTTATATTTTCATTAAAAGAAATAAGAAATTTATGAGGGAAATAGAGCCCTACAAGTCACAAGACCCCATTACAGTTCCAAAAACAAATAAGATTTCCAATTGATGGATACCTTTTGAGCACTATCAAGTGTAAAGAAAAAAGAAGCATTACAGTGAAAGCATTCCATTCGATGCAGAATTTCTTATGGGCCTATAAACGCTCGTAATCCTTTTGTTTTGAAAAAAACTTGATCACCATGAATAATTGGTACTCTTGCGCTGCATTTGCCAACAATTGTGAGGAACAAAGCTCTCTTCTTTTCCTTTTTCTTTTATTTTGGAAGCACTATATTCGATACGTGTTCCTAATAGTTATGTAACACGAAAATGGTGTATGAGCAGTGTGCATCAAACCTCGTGTCTTTATGGATTCCGTTGGCACTGTATAAATAATATATGACCTATCAAACATACAAATAAATGGAAATTAAAAACCTGATGACTGAATTCCGTGTGAGAGAGCCCTGCAAGCAGCTGCAGACAAAATTGCATTTTCAATATGCTCCGATCGAAAAAGTTTCTCAAGCATTGGCCAAAATATCCCTAGTAAAGCAAGGGCAGAATCATCTGAAGCCATAACAGGAGATAAATCTGTTGCAAGATGAATGAATATGGTTCCAATCCTGTAATAAACCAGCTAGAGAATGAGCAGGAAGCCCATTATCTATGATGCATTTATGAAACGAATATAACATAAAGCTAAGCAAACAAAGGCTATGGGAAAGCTCAATATGAAAGCACAATGGACAATGACAAAGAAAGACAGTTGTAAATTTTCTATTTGCTGACCCTAGAGGGTATTATTCTGCTCCAGTCCTAATCTTTGCTGTTTTTTGCATCCTGTGACTAAATAATTCTCAAATGACGTCCCATTCTCTGATTGAACTCAAGCAACATGAAACAAAAGCTAGACTTAACCAAGAAATTTATTGGGAAAGTTTAGCTTGTTATACAGTACTCAAATTAAAAGGTTCAGCATCAGATTTGAGGCCAAACGGATAAACATATAATGTTCATGCCGGTACAAAAACGTAGATTGTATAAAAAGGGGAAGTGCCTTCCAGATATCAAAACTAGAAGAAGCAATGTATACAGAACCTAACTCATGATTTTTCAAGGAGTACCTAGTCTTCAGAGTAACCTTGAAGTTGACCAGTCTAACATTTTCTAGTCCTGACTCTAGTTCCAGTTCAGAAGTTCTTCAGGTATTCTGCCCTTCCTCCTTTACCTGTAATCTCTACCCTTATTCTGTTATAGGCTACATTAAGATATAAACCAATCATTCTTTCTCTACTTATAAAATAAAAATAAATAAATAAATAAAAATCGTTCTTTCTCTATTTTTACGACCTAATAATTCAAATTCTCGAAAAACAACTTTGTTACTGTTCAAAGCCCATGGAATGAAACAGTTTTGGCTCCTCAACTTACTATAACCCTCAAACCAATTTCTCAAACGTTTGGGCAATTAAATTGACAAAGAACTCAGTGCTATAAATTCCACTTTCAATGAGTGGACAATTCCCAAGAAACACTGTGTACTCATACACACAACCGTACACAACCTACTGTATATAACATTCATATTATACCCAAGTTGAAATAATAGTAGTTAGCATGTATTACAAAATATTTGCTAATATAAGTTCTCAAGGTTATTCAAAAGCATAATTTAAGCAAACAGATAACAAGAATATATCTTCAGCAGAAAAGAAGAGTACTAATAGAATGTAAGAAGAGCACTAATAGAATGTACTCCTTCCATACCTTTATTATTGCTGAATTATCACTAAAAAATTATCAAAATAGTCAAAAATAAGTTTAACTCACTTTCCATAGATAACCACAAACACAAGCCAAAAAAATAAGATAAAAGCAATCATTGTTTTTTAAATGATTGTGATTTTGAAATACAGGAAAATAGATAAGATAGAATTCAAATGCCAATGTCAATGTACTATGCATAAAAGACTTGATTTTCCAAATTCATGCTAATATCATAGGCCATAAGTAATATATACAAGTTCACCTTCAATATTTCATCTGTAAAGATTTTTCTTTTTCCCTTTTTCCCCCCTTTTTTGGTATCTGGTGATGAATGAGACACGTTATATTCTCCCATATTTTATGTAAAATAGAGAGGCATGGTCTATACAGTATTGATTCAAAACCAAGGTAATATCAGAAAAGCAATAAAAAGGTAAATCTTAAGTGCTCACATCAAAGGGAGAAGTATAAATGCTTGACAAATGAAAATTCATAGAAACAACAAGATTAAACCTATATAGCCCTCTTGTTGCAGAGTTCATCAGTAGAGTATAAGTAGACGGATGTTGCCTCAAATAATGTCCATAATCTTCTTCAATCTGAAACAAGAAGAATCAATTGAAAAGTTAATACAAGCCTCAAGGAGAGCGAAAGTTAGTGCACTTGACGTCAGAACTCCACCATCAAATTCGGCTCATCAAAAAATTCTGGACTTCAGCAAGATAGTAGCTGTGTCACGCCGTGTATGAAATAGGCTCTTGCAATTATTTGAGGAACTGGAGGCTAATAGGGGACGGGATGTGTACACCAGTTGGCAAGACAAGAAAGGGTGATTGTGAGCTTAAGTGGCTTGAATGTTCGGTTGATTATGACGTCAAGGGTGGCAAGTCAAGGAGAGGACGGATGGGAAGGGATCACAAAACGTTAAGATGATTTCAAAAAATAATTAGTTGGAACATGAAAGGGCTTAATGAAGCTGGGAAAATTTTAGTGGTTCGAAATCTATTAAGGGGGACGGGGACTGACCTTGCATGTTTACAAAAAATGTTGAAGGTTGTTTCGAGGGCTGTAGTGAGTGGCCTATTGGGGGACAGCATTTTAGGTATTAGTTTACGGGGTCATCGGGGCTTGAGGAGGTGTGCTAGTCGTGAGACACTATTAATTTTTGATATGGAGGAGGTTAGTGAATAGCTATTTTCTTTATCGCTTTTGTTTAGAAATATTAGGGATAGTTTCCATTGGACGTTTATAGGAGTTTATAGGTCTAATGTTGATCAGAGTAGAGGTGGATTGTGAGATAAGTTGGCTTGAATGATGGCTTGGTGGAACCTCCGGGAAGATTTTAATGTGGTTCGAATTCCTACTGAGATGTCTACTGGTGGGAAATCAATAGAGGCTATGGAGGACTTTTCGAATTTATCAAGGAGAATATGTGGGAGGATCTGCCTATGATTAGGGAGGTTTTACTTGGTCATCTAATAGGTACCAACTTGTCCTATCCTGAATATATTGGTTTTTGGTATGTGGGGAGTGTAAGGCTAAGTACCCAGAGATCACTCAGAGGAGATTAAGGAGGGTGTATTCAGATTATTTCCCTTTTTCATTATTCAGAAATGCGAAGTGGAGTGGAAGGCATTTTAGTTTTAAGAAGATGTAGCTAAAAGTAGAAGGTTTTAGGAAGCGAGTAGGACTTGGTGGGGATCCTATAACTTCAAGGGGTCTCCCTAGTTATGTGCTGGATCGAGAATTGAAGGCCTTAAAAAGGGATCTAAAGTGGTGGAATGAGGAAATAGTGGGAGATGTTAACTATCACAAAAATCAACATCTTTCAGATATAGAAAAGTTGGATAGGCGGAGCGTCGATTGGTAAGTAATGAGAGGTTAAGACATGGAGATTAAGGGGAGAGACAAAGAGGTTTGTAGAGCTAGAGGAGACTGCTTGGCGTCAGAAATCTAGGGTCAAGTCATTAAAAGAGGGAGACCAATGTACTCAATCTTTCCACAGGGTCGTTAATTCCAACAAGCGCAACAATTATATCACTATGTTGAAGGTATATGAGGTTAGTTATGAAGAACCACTTTATCAAGAGCAGTTTGATTGGAAGACTAGAGTTAGAGGGGCTAGATTTTTCTACTATTATTCAGGAAGATGCCAATTAGAGAGACAATTTGGGGAGGATGAAATTAGGAAGGGTGTTTAGCATGAATGACGACAAGGCTCCAAGACCAGACGGGTTCTCTTTCTCATTGTATAAGGCTTGGTGCAATCGATATTGTAGATGTCCTTACTTATTTCTTCCAATGTGGTAGGTTCTTGAAAAGCTCCAATGCTACATTTATTGTGCTGATTCCTCAGAAATCGGGAGCAACAGATATTAAGCCCCTGTTTGATCCCCATTAAATTAAATTACATTACATTCCATTTTTCTCTCATATTTTCAACCACACAATCTTCCATAAAATAATATTACACGTAAATCGAAAACTTTTCTTTCTTTTTCAATCACTTATTTTTCTAAAAAATATTATTCCCCCAATTTTCATTTTCAGGTAATGGGCATCAAACAGGGGCTAAGTATTTTAGCACTATTAGTTTAGTGAGTGGAGTGCACAAAATTATTGCGAAGATTTTGGCAAATAAATTAAAGTAGGTGTTAGAAAAAGTGATATCTAAGTTTCAAAATGCTTTTATCAAAGGGAGCCATATTTTGGATTCTATACTTAATAGTAAATGAATGCATCGACTCAAGACTATGCCTAGGAGTTCCAGAAATGTTATGTAAGCTCTATATTCAGAATGCTTTCATCACATAAACTGGGGATTACTTTTGTATATGCTTAGGTGCTGTCGCTTCGAAGATAAGTGGTGCCAGTGGATTCAATTTTATCTCTACAGTTTCTTTCTTAGTTATGGTGAACGGCACTCCTGAGGGTTCTTTTTGAAGTAGTAGAGGATTGAGACAAAGGGGATCCTTTGTCATTCCCTTTGTCTCCATTGCTATTTGTTATTGTAATGAAGATTTTCAGTAGGATGCTTAAGAAGACTGTGGAGGAAAGTTTGTTAAAGGGCTTTATGATTGTTCAGTAGCAAATATCTCATTTGTTATTTGCAGATGATACGCTGATCTTATGTGATGCAAATACTGAGCAATTCAGGAACCTGCGTCATTTGTTTCTGTGATTTGAAGTTGTATTTGGATTGAAGATAAATCTAGAAAAATCCGAGGCTATCACAGTGAGAGATGATGATAACGTGGGAGAGTCGGTTGCTATATTGTGTTGCAAAGTTGTGCAACTACCTATAACATATCTTGGGCTTCCTTTAGAAGCACGATTTAAAAGCATACATATTTGGAACAGTATTGTGAAAAAAGTGGAAAGAAGGCTGGCGAATTGGAAGTATATGTAAAGGCAGGCCGTCTTACTCTCATAAAGTCCACTCTGTCGATTCTCCTTATTTCTCATTCTTATTTCCTATTCCTGCTGTAGTTGCAAAAAGATTAGAAAGGATTCAAAAAGAGTTTCCTTGGAAAGGATTAGGGAAGGAGAAGAAATTACATTTGGTTAATTGGGGTGCAGTTTGTTCTATCATAAGGTTGGGGAGTCTCGGACTGAGGAGTATTGTTTAATAATGTCTTGTTGGGTAAGTAGTTGTGGCAATTTGGAGTAGAGGGCAAAAGTCTTTTAGAGAAATTATATGGGCAAAATATGGTGTTACAAAGGAGATATGATGCTCGGTTGGGAGTCGTGGTTCTTATAGGGTGAATTTGTGGTCGCATATCCGACGAGTGTGGAGCAACTTTCAAAATAGTTTTGACTTTTGTGATGGTAAACGGTAATACGACCAGTTTTTGGGATGATTGTTGGTGTAGAGATCAACCACTAAGGGTGGGATTTCCTTCTTTATATCATACTGCGTTGGTGTCGTCTGCTATGGTGAATGGTGTCTTAGATATACATAATGGGAGTCTCAGTTGGAATATTATTCTTGGGTAGGGTTTGCAGGACTGGGAATTGGATAATTATGTGCTGCTTTTGACATCTTTGTATTAGATGCACATTGGGGCTGGAAAGAGTGATTATAGTAGGCGGAAGTTGACATGGGATAATATTTTCTCAGTCGGCATTTATTTTAGATCCTTATTGGGACCTATGAAGAGTTCATTCCCCTAGAAGGTGGTGTAAAAATGTATATTGCCTCCACAGGTGGCATTTTTACTATGGACGGTGGTCAGGAATAGGTATTAACAGTGAATAATCATTGAGTAAGGGTGTTTTTATGTTACAAAGTGGTGTTATGTGTAGGAGGGATGGTGAGACAATTGATCGCTTATTCTTACATTGTAATGCTGCTCATTTGCTACAATAAGATATTCTGGTATCTCGACACATGGATCAGGTGTTGCCGAGGCATATGGAAGGCTTGTTAAAGGCATTAAGATGAAATTTTTGTGATAAGGATAGCAAGCTCATATAGGACCTTATTCCGAGTTGCATCGTATGATGTATGTGGACAGAAAGAAATGGTACTGTTTTAATGATCAAATATGGAAAACTGAGCAGGTTAGAGAATTGTTTTATTTGACATTATATACTTAGTTTAATGCTGCGGCTACTAGTCATATAGATGGGTTGCCCAATTTCATGTTCCCTTCTGGTTTAAATTGATAATACACAAGGTGTATTATCCTTTAATAATTAATAAAACATTTGATTACCTTTATAAAAAAATAAAAAAAAGAGAGAGAGGTGGAGTGGGCATTCCTTATAATCTTTTCACATTTATTTTGCTTCAGTTTAAATATGTGGGCAACCATTTAGGGCCAAAAGAAAAGATTTAAGCCATTCAATGTGTTAACCCCCCATTATCCTAAATGACTTCCTATTCTAAGGGAAAACATCCCATTTACAATATCAAGAGGGTTTGAAAGAAGAGAACATGAGGGTATTTATGAGTTCATTTAGGAAGGTGAATGTTATTCTAGTAGATTTGGATTTCTGTGACTATACAAACAGGTAAAGGATCATTCAAACTAAAATAGATACAATTGAATATCTAAAAATTCTTAGTAAGGATACAATTAATCTTTCAGAGTCAGCTCCTTCACTGTCAAAATTCTTGGCTCCAGCACTTCAGGGATTCAGATCGCTTCATAATACATTATAGATATTTATATTGCTACTTTCACTCATCAAAACACATGCCCTGATTATAAATTGGCCATTACTTCAGGAACAGAAAAGGATCAGCTGGAAATTTTCAGCACATTCTGATCTCTCTTAAGACGGAATTAACATTCTAAAACAGTATTAAAAAATGGTAAATATTTATTAGAAGCTCCTAATTTTTGAAGAATGAAAGGTGTAAGGTCAATTACAAGTTCTTGGAGCCAGGTTGCTAAGGACTTGATGCATGCATGTCAAAGATCACACAATGGAAGGCAACTAAGAACTGAGAATAGAACAGTAAATTGCAGCTCCTTGCACTAAAATTACATGATATAATAATTACGAGAGATCCTGTCAATGCTTAGACTGAAAGAGAAAAGGCGATTGAAGTACAATGCAAATGAAATATAAAGATTATGTTTACTACTAAATGCAAATTGAACTAGTGCCAGCCTTTGTACATGTCCGGAAATAGAAAGTATGTTGATTTGATAGCATTATAGGAAAAGCTTACAAGTTTTCCGATAGCTTCATAAGAAGGAGACAGCAACCTAGCCAACAAATTATTCATCAGCTTCTTATCAGGGATGGAGCAAAATACTAGTGTGATGGCACTGACTACTTCATCCTCATCCTCCAAGGACAATTCCCTCTCTTCCAATCCCTAAAGACAATTTTGTCAATAAGTGTGCCCAACACATTTAGAATTCAAGAAATAATTGCTTTGCAAGCAAACAGTTTCCCCAAAATCAAGGGCTGGAAAATTATAACAAGTATTAACTCAGTTTTCAAATTCAGTGTTCATGAATGCTTTCTAAAGGTTCTCTCATGCATAGTCTGGCAATATATTCTTTGTATAAAGGTACACTTAAACTTCTGAGAGTGAACAGATTTCTTAAACTTACATTATCAATTAAACTCAATGAAGATTCATATGATTATAGATATTCGAAAAAACAAAAATAGACCCCAAAGAAATTGAACACATGAATTTAATTTACAGGCATCCATCATGACCAACCTCTCCGATCCAAATTAAGATTTCCAAATTGGAAGGTTCACACAACATTGCAGCAGCCTCTTCACATAATTTGCGAAATGCATAAGCACAAGCATTCGAACAAACAGGTTCTGATATCCCATTCGCAAGAAATAGTCTGAAAATAGCCAGTCAAATACCTTAATGACAAATGAAGGATAAGAAATGGAAAAGGAAGAGCAAGTGCTACAATTTACAATTCATTACTACAGTGCTCCGTGTAAACAGAATGATTTAATAGCAAATTCATTTCTCTAGTTCTTTTTACGGTAGGTGTAAAATGCAATCCTTTCTTCATATGCAAAAGCATTTACAGAAATGGTCTTGTGTTGCTTTGGGAAGCTGATATCCACTTGGCATAGGAACCCGTAACATCCGCAAGCGATTTGTATACCTAGAAGGAATAGAATTCAAAGGAAACTGCATTTAGAAAGTCACTGCATACTGTAACTTACATAAAGTTGCTCCTAGACTGAAGCAGCAGAGATATAGTCTTATTCTCTATTTATTTATTTTTAATTCGTCTTTCAGCTCACAAATAAAAAGAATCAAGACAGGAAAGAAAGCTAACATAGAAATGAGACTTACAAGGCACATAAAGCCCTTGCGGGCATCACAAGTCCTACTGGACAAAATTGTCACCAAATGCATAAGAACAGAGACATCAAAAGGCTGTCCTTCCTTAAGAACCACTTCAGCAACCTGAAACAAAGCCCGTATTTAATTTCTGTATGCACTGAAAATCTTCCAGTAAATGTGTGACACTGCACAATAATGCAGGCAAGGAAAAAAGGTACAAGATAAGCACTTTTTTTTTTTTTTTATTTGATATGGTTCACTGCACTCACTGCATTAAGCATGAATAATTTGGCTTCCACCTCTTTCCAAGGAATATGTATGCCAGAAGACGTCCAACTTCCAGCGAAGATCTGATATATGCATGAATGAGAAAACTTCCATTATGTACACTAACAAAATTCACTGTGCTTATTTTCTGTAAAGATGTCAAAATGCTCAAATTTCAAAAGTTAACAGATGAAATTATCTAAATGGATAAGAGTTGCACAATGAAATATACATCACCTTTTGAATAAATGAAGTAGATCGTATTAGCTGACATATATCGACCAAAATTTCCATCAAATTCATCCTAAATTGCACGAGGCTGTCAGGCAGGTCAACAGTTTTACTATCATCATTATATGTGGAATCATCAACCTGGCTGACACAAGATTCAATCTTATGAAAGAAAAAGGAAAGAGATGATGATTATGATAAATAAATAAGTAAACAAAAAGAGATCATAACACCAATTCTCAGAAGACCCGACCTGGGCAAAAGGTTCATGAAAACCTATTAACCATTTATAAAATTTCCCGCCCCTTAAGCCCCCGTTTGAATCTCATTCCATTACATTCTATCTCTCTCTCCTATTTTCAACCACACAATCTTTCATAAAATAATATTACATGTAAACCGAAAACTTTCCGTTCTTTTTCAACTACTCATTTTTAAAAAAAATACTATTCCCCCCATTTTCATTTGCAAAAAATGGGGGCTAAAACTTGTTCACACATATATGTAATATTCTAGGGGTGCCTTTGCTACGAGGTAATGAAAACTAGGACGGGGGCAATATTTGGCCCTTTTAAAAGTTAATAGGTACCTTGGTCATTAAACTAGATCAAATGCCTGAATACAGGAACCTCAAAAACATCCAAAGTGAGGGTTTTTCGGTTATTAATTGTGAGAAATGAGATTCAAAATGGAAAGTGGTTCTCAAAAGTCCCTACAATTTAATTCACCCTATATGCATAGCTAGCCATTAATCTATTTTAATTAGCTCTTCACAATGACATCAAAGAATGAAAGTCACAAGTTTGCATTGAACACTTAATTTAAAAGTGTAAGCTCTTAGAGAGGACCCCGTGCATTTTATTTGATTTTTAGCTTCAACATCCCCCCACATGTAAGTTAGGTTCGTATTTTCCATGAAAGCCTTACAATGTACACATGCTATAACAGATCGGCAGTGGTGAGACCTCAAATCAAACCTTTGAGTGCTCTGATACCATGTTAAACCATTTAATATAAAAGTTTAAGTTGTTAAAGAGAACAACGTCTATATCATTTAAATCTTATTTTCAACAGTTATTCTCATTGATCAAGAAATGTCCATTTAAGCTTTCTAGAAGCAAAGTGGGTGGGGAGGGGGGGGGGAGGGGAGCAAAACAGGTGCTAAGTACGATATCTCAATATAGAGGATAAAAAAATTGATCAATGAGAGAAACAAACGGCATTTAGGACCAAGTCTTTTTTGTCTTTGGTCTTTTAAGGGACACTCATAAAATTTCACTTTTCTGCAAAAATATAAAGATAATTCCGATAAACATTAATACAAGATTTAATACCTAGATTAGTGTATTATCAATATATGTTAGATCTGCATCTACTTACAGGATTAAAAACTTTGAGTTTGTGGTCAGCTGACATAAGCCAACCACTTTTGTAGTGAATGCTAAGCATAAAACAAAGGTGAAGCCAAAGGAGATGGAGCCAAAAACCATAGATAAGGCAATGGTCATTTCTCTATTTAAGAGAATAAGATCATCTCTTATTCATTTGACTGGTAACACTCATTACTTTCTTCCATCAATGGGGAGCAAGCTTTGAAAAGAGTGTTTTCGTCGACAAAAGAACCCATGAATTATTTTACTTTCAAGCGTGCTACCAAGTTGCACAGATCACGGAGATTTTGATAATCACAAAGAAGAATACGATATGACCATATTTATATGTGTTGTATTTTAAGGTAGTAATTACAGTTTACCTGAAATTGTATCATATTACGTGGTACGTTTGTAATATCCATCTATATAATGCAATGTGTCCCAAACGGGGAAAATCATTCAACCAAACTTTGACATTATTTCTCTTTCACATATCATCACTGATGTTCAGATCGCTGACATGTTGACTAAGGCAATGGCTCGACGTCATCAATCCCTTGTCAACAAATTGATGTTTCTTGATCATCCAGCATCAATGTGTGGAAGATGTCAATAAGATTGAGATTGAGATCACGGAGATTTTGATAATCACAATGAAGATTACGGTATTACCATATTTATATATGTGTTATATTTTAGGTAGTAATTACAATTTACCTAAAATTGTATCATATTACCATGTATGTTGGTAATATCCATCTACATAATGCAATGTATCCCGAACGGGGAAAATCATTCAGCCAAACTTTGACCATTTACAATGTCAATGTAGAGAATCCCTACCTAATTTCTCGTCACTTTTTTATTATTATTTTTTGTTTCGTTATTTTACATCAACCGAACGATTTTTAAAAGGCATTCATTTTTTTCTCCTTTGTTTCAATATTAAAGGTTCATAGGCTATTAAGCCCCTGTTTGATGGCCATTATTTGAAAATTCTTTTTTCTACATATTCACTCATTTTCAACTACATATTCACACAATAAAATATTCTGTATATAAATCTAAAATTTTTCCCTACTTTTTAACCATACATTCTCCCAAAAATCACTATTCAAAACATTGTTTTTCCCAAATAACGACTAGGGGCTAAGTTTTATTCAGTCAATTGAACATTCCATATACAGATTTAAACAGAATTAATATCTAGTTACTCATAGGGAAAAAAATTGTAACATAAAATCCACACTAAAACTTGTGTAAAGAGAGACTTGGTGAATTTTGTTCCCCCGATTTCATTCCCAATTTCAATAATACAAGGTCTTGGTTTTTGTAACTAAGAATTTGAATCCAATCAATTTTCTATTTCAGGTACCGAGGATGGAAAAATATTTAGTTGATTAAAACCCTACAGAAAATTAAGCAATTTTTCCAAAAGTCCAAAGGAAAAATGAAATTTCTCAAAATGGCAAAGATGGGTCAGGCAACTAGTACCCTAGCCACCAGTTCCCACAAAGAGCATATGATGATGCAAAAAGAAGTTGGAACAAAAAGGTTAAAATAGGACACATGGAATTTAATAGGATTTTTATTATATTTTCTTTTTCTTTTTCTTTTCCATCTATTGATATGATAGTACTATTACATATATGATTGATCAATATTGTGGAAAATAATATATATATTATTAGTTTCTTATTTAGTTGTAAAGTAATGTAAATCCTAGGAATTCTAATTCATGACTTTGTGGTAGTAGTCAGAGTATGATTCCTGATTCTTTAGGAATATTTTATCAATTTCCTTTTTAGCTAGTTGATCTAGGTCTGTATCTAGCCTATAAAGGCCTCTGTTTTCTGACTGAATACAAAAAGGAAAAGCATTATTCTCATTTTACCACATAGTATCAAAGCCCTAAGGCTTAGAATTTTTTGGGAAGAATTGTTATTTTGACTACTCGGCCTTCATTGCTTGTAGTTTTGTGATCCTTGCCAACCTTTATTGGTGCCTTAATTGCCTAGAGATCATTTTTTTTTTTGGTTGGAAGATGTCGGAGATTGTAGAGACGGTTGCTACAACACAATTGGAGGAGATTGTTCGATTCCAACATGGGGAATATCCAAGCTGCATATAGGCTAGATGGAAAAAAATTACTTTAAATGGTCTCAACTTGTTCGCACTGTGCTAAAAGGAAAAGAGAAGATCAACTACCTCACGAGTATTGGGACGAAACTAGGAGATCCTCATTTTGAAGCTTGGGATGAAGAGGATTCCATGATTATGGCATGGCTCTAGAATTCTATGACTCTTGAGATTAGTGACACATGTATTTCCTAGGTCTTGAGGTGCTTTCAACTCCAACAGGGCCTTACCTGCATCAACATAAGTATACAGAAGAGTTGATTACACTGGCTGGACTTCGGAATGGTCAATTTGTTGACACTCCTTTGGAGGTATATGTGAAGTACGCAAGGAAGAGGGTGATCTTCTTTCTGATCCCTCTTTATATCGTCAGTTAGTGGGCAGTTTGAATTATCTTACTATTACACAACCTGATATTTCTTTTGCGGTCTAGCAAGTTTGTCGATTCATGCATGCCCTACGATATTTTCACTTAGCCGCGATTCGTTGTATTATTAGATATTTGATTGGTACACCTAACAAGGGTATTTTCTTTCCAATCAACTCCTCTCTAAAGTTAATGGGTTATAGTGATGCCGATTGGACTGGATGTATGGACACTCGTCGCTCAATTATGGGTTGGTGTATGTTTCTTGGGAATGCGCTTATTTCATGGTGAAGTAAGAAGCAGGATCGCATTTCTAAATCTTTCACTAAATCTGAGTATCGAGCTATGTCATTTGCTTACTCTGAGATTGTCTGACTTCGAGGTCTTCTAACGGAACTTGGTTACCCTCAACTTGAACCTACTCCATTTCATGCCAACAATACTAGTGTCATTCAAATTGCTGCTAATCCTGTGTTTCATGAACAGACGAAGCACATTGAGGTGGATTGTCATTCCATACAAAAGGCTTATGATGATCGAATTATTTCTCTTCCACATGTCACCACTAATATTCAGATTGCTGATGTGTTTACTAAGGCCATGACGAGACAGCGGCATCAATTTTTGGAAAGCAAACATGTGTGTATGATTCTCTTACCTATAGCTTTATTTCTATATAATGAAAGCCATCCCGAACTGGAAGATCATTCAGCCAAAACTTTTACATAACCCACAACTAGCTACTCCAGCCCCTTCTACCAAGCATTACACCCATTGCCATGGCGCTATAAACACAACTAATGTTTGCTAGAAATTTCTTGATTAACTAGTATGTTTAAAAAAAATAAACAAACTGAAAAGATGAAGAAATCTGCTTAGGTGGCTACCACTTAAGCCTTATTGTCCTCTACTGCTTATGCCTCAAGTAACCACTCATGCAAGACCATCTAACCAAGAAGACAATTGAAGCTAGTAAAGACGGGAGGCCTTTACTACTAGGAGTTGCAATCAGAGTTAAAACAACGATTTTTTAGAAGTGGGTCGTTCTATAAATATATATCCATCAAAGTAGGACATGTTCAATACGCCAAACTTGGGATGGGTGGGTGGGAGTTGGAACAGAAAAGTTAAGACTATGAATTATGAAAATATTTCCATATAGCTTATGTCTAGTTTAGTTAGGAATTAATATTTCCTTTTAGTAATAGAATTTTATTATTTTTCCTTTTCTTTTTCTATTGATAAAATTGTACTCTGATATATAGGACTGATTATCATTGAGCCTAAATTCTAAATAAATAAAAAGAGCATCAAGCAATGCAAAGAAAACAGGAAAAAGTCGTTCTAAATTTTTCCTATTTTCTGCATTATCCACTTCAAGTCCAAGAATGTAGCTTGCAAGAGTACACCTAGAAAATGAAACAAGTTCAAGGCACTAAATAAAAACACATGAAAGTGCATATTCCTAGAAGGGCAACATTATGATCAAGGTGATTATTATATAGCACCACAAAAACATCAAAGGTACCAAAACTGCAAAGTTGAGTCTGCGATCTCCCAGTCACCACTCGGAAATGCCACACAACTGCTAACATACAAAATAACACGTGTTAAATGAAGTAGTTCCACTAAGTACTTTCAAGATTTTTCTTGCTGATAAGCTTTGTAAATAAAGCATGTTCATCCTGAAGAATTAAATGATATGGTACAATAGGGGCACAACTCATTCACACAGAAAAACTATGATGTTCACAAAATATTAGACAATCTAAAAACAGATATTAATCAAGACACATTCAGTTTTGGCATGATTTATACAAGAAAAATGTAAACGCATCTAGAGGACATTATGTAGATTGCAATTAACAAGTAAAACATATTGGAAGATCAAAGCCCATCAAGTGGATGTTTAATGAACCAATCCCATCATCCTTTAGAGATCTTTCAACTTTGATGGCTGGACCACATTTACGACCAAAGCTGTAAGAAGTAAAGGAAATAACGATCGGCTTCTCTAGACTGGTTCTAGTTTAGCCAAGCACATATAGCCATACAGTGCTATAAAGGAGAGGGTCAAGAACAATTTCTAGACATGAACAAGAGAAGACGACCTACTGGATGTTGAGAACCCATTCAACCAATAGAAGCCAACCTATTGATTATTGAGAACCCATTCAACCAATAAAAAATCCATTACAAGAGTCCCAGTAATAGACACCCAAAAATTCATTAACAGCTTACTATTTTTTTTTTAGCTATGAATGAAACCCAAAAAAGTTAAATAAAAATCATTTTCCCATCCCATTTCTTGTCTACAAAAGATGTTCCATTTCAACTTCAATTGTCATCTTTCCCTCATTCCAAATCATTCAAGCTTATAAATGAAATGTTTTAATCAATACACTCTGGATGTGACAGAAATATATATCACTAAAAGTGGAGAAAAGCTCCGACAAATTGCTTCCATGCCATTTTGCCAATACCTTCATTGTGCATGTGTCCACTCTAAAATGCAAATTGCTGATTGTGTTTTCTTCCACCCACTCCCATGACGACCTGAGTTCATTTATTGTTTCCTATCTTGTCACTAAATAATTATTTTTCCTGGAAGCTACTAAATGAACAAATTACATCAACGAAAAGCTTTAGAGCTATTGGATTTTATGCGCAATATTAAAGAGATGAAAACGAAAATCAACACAAGAATTTTACGTGGTTCAGCGATGTGCCTACATCCACGAGAGCGAAACAGAGATTTCTTTATTCAGTTGGTAAAAATAGGGTTACAACATATTATTTATACTAACTCTAGCTTGGGCTCATATAAGACTTTAAGGTCCGTACAGAAAATACCCCTGTACCGTACCGCAAGGGCGTTGTCCCCGCACCCCCAACCCATTCAGCGTCCCTAATAATCAAACAGTGAATTAAACCCGCGCAAAGCCGATACCGTCGCTCCGTTCCTCACTCCACTCAGCGCCGACATCGGCCCATTTGATCTAAGACCTGTATTCCACTCTATATGAGCCACATGCACAACAAGAGCATATGCAAAGCTTCTTTTGGAATAAGTGTACCACGAAGATTGTGCAATATATCCTCTCGAGAGAACTTATGTTTGGAAAAGAAGGCAAGAAATCTGACCTCAAGAGGGCATCTGCCAGCGCAAGTGCTTCAGAACTTGCTTTGACAATCAAAGATGGCGCCTAACAAACATATAAAGGAAATAATGAACAACAATGCTATAATTATATATCATCATTTTCTGGCATGAATATGGAATGATTTTCTTCAAGGTGGGAATTAGAAAGCTTTAAACAATATCAAAATGATATCTGGAAAAAGTTAATGAACTGAATGCATAATATATATTAGACACTAACAGCTTGACCAATTTCTGACATCAGACAAGCAAGACCTCCTATTGGTTTTTCATCCCTACTGTTAAGAGCAGGAATAAGAATTGCTTCCTTGAGAAATCCAACTCTACATAGCAAAACCTGTGGTAGTCCCTGCCAGAGAAAAGGTCAAATTACAATAAATCGTGATTAGAAGATACTAAAATTGGGAATCTCCTCCTATGTCTATATGAACAAAGCAATATCAAAGCTTTCCCACTTCTGTGTCCTAGTTAAGAGTTAATAGTTTACGAAAAAAATGTATCACCCAATAATTGTGCATTCATTATGTTCAAGCTTTTCAATTGATTCTGTTTGAATTCCCACTCCAACTGGATCTTATACTATACTCTAATAAAGAAAGACTAATTCTCCCAAACTCAAATGCAAGTCACGATTTAACATTAGTTGATAACAAGGGGTGTGAGGTCGTTTGGGGATTAGATTGTCATTATTCGCTTTCATTGTTGCTGTAAGCTGTCCCCCCTACCTCTTCTTAGGTCATTCATTAATGACTTGAGCCTTGCCACGATGGTTGCTGGTACTGGAAGAGAATTTTCTTCTTGAGTACATAGAATAATAGAGATGGACTGGTAATTTTACATATTCATTTTGACCTAGGACAGGATCTTGAAAGATTTATGATGTGGAAGCATAGAGTTGCAGCGCTGCTATAGTGTTGTAGCTTGTGGCCATCATTTGTATTCAAGGAATTTTAATGTAGTAGCTAGCCCCTAGTCAGGTGTCACTTATGATAATTAACTGGATCAGTTTAAGATCATGTTGTATCATGTCTATAAAGCATCATACTGACATTTGATATTTAATCTTACTACAAATTTTTTATTATGTCAAAAAATTATGCAAATGAAAGAACCTAAAGATAAAATTATACCTCATGTCGACTCACGAGTTCAACAAGAACTTCAACAGCCAGATCAAATGAAGACGAAACCTATTTGCCAGTAAAGAAGGCATGAATAACCATGTTATGCATAACATTTTCAAAAGACCTTCAATAACATCATGTCTAGAAAGATGCGTTACCTGCAAGGAATTGAAAACAAAATTAAGAACTGGATGAGCTGGCAATGAGCTTAAAGGGATCTCCGAAAAGCACCCAGCTCGAACCTGAAAGCAATAAGATCAGCTCTACAGGAAAATGGAGATTATTTAGTGCAAAATATGCATGAATACATAGTACATGGTGAAGTATGTTTTATTGAACTAATCAAAAATCATGTATTTAAACTAGAGATCAATATAAGGATTACCTAGGGATACTTTCAATCTAACACGGAATAATTATTACTCCTTAGTGTGAAATTTAGAAGTAATGTTGTCTAAGGTGAATTATCCAATTAGAAATGTAAAATACTTCGCTGTCATTCCTTTTTTTCATTAGTTAATCTCGGAAAACAGATGTTGTCCAATTCAACATGATTTTCCTAGCTTAGAAAATAATGTAGGACAATGTAAGAAGTGATTACTGATGCTAGTATTCCCATTTTGCTGGGATTTTATTTCATTACTTAGATGGGAATTCTCTCTTTAAGGTTTTTTGTCTTCTTTTCTTTTTATGAAATTGTTTATATTCCTTACACTATAATGGCTAGAAGATTATTTTACATATATAAGAAGATGCTAGGCACACTTTCTAACCATCAAATTCAATACATTCAAGTTATTTGACTACAAATCTAATTTCAATAGAATTTTTTTTATTTAAGAAACTTCAAATTCCACTTCCGTCAGAAAGAAAAAACCTAAAATTTTTAATAAAATCTTACCCAACTTAACAAGCAACGCAATATCTTTCTGTTCCTGTCATGGTGTTCAGCACCACTGCCAAAGATCTTCTCATTTTGCTGCAGTATGAACTCAAGAACCATTGGAGTATATGCAAGAAGCTGCTATAGGAAAAGAATGTTTATATGAGAAAAGAACCCAAAGGCAATGTGTATGTGCCAGAGAAAATGAGAGATGAAATGCTTGCAGCAGAAAGTAGTGAAACCTCGCGCTCATACTCATAATGCCAAGCAATGCTTAAGCTGCAATCAGCATTCTGATCCTCGATAATCTCTGGCAAGACTGTGAGCATCTCTAGAACAGCAATGTCTCCATTATCCTGATTTTGTAAACTCTGAAGACTGTAGAATAGCTTCTCGATAGGTTTTCCATGCTCTACAGCATGAAGTATTAGTGTAGAGAGAGCAAGACAGATTTGTGTTAAGAGCTGCTTCGAAAATAAAGCAAATATTTCAGAAAAATTTACTTTATTGATTTACAATGACTTGGAAAGTGAGATTATCAGTTCAATACCAGCAAATCACATTTCAAGTCAAAAGTTGATCACCTGAGGAGGACCTGAAGTAAATCTTTTAGCAGCTAAAAGAAGAGCATTTAGCAGAGCATCTTTTGCTCCTAACTGCAAATTGCGTCCTTCATTTTGGATCTGTAAGGAGACAAAATAACATCATGCTTGCCACAAAGGAAGGTTTATATTTTCCCATACAAATGCATAGAACATAAAAAGGAACAAAAAATCAACACCAAAGTAAAAAGAATAAAGCAAAAATTGACCAAACAAGCTTCTCAACTGATGAAATATGCAAAATTTTCTAAATTTGTAGGGAGAAACCAGTCTAGTGAAGAGAAATTATACACAGTCAGAGCCAACTCAAGCAAGTAAAATAAGTTTTATGGCGTTATGGTTTATTTTAGTTAATTAATATTTATTCTCTATTCTTATTTTCACTTTTATTTTGAATGAGTCCAATAGTGTTAGTGGATTGTTAGACATATTTTCTCCTATTTGAGTCTCCAATTGTAGTATTCTATTTCTTATGAGAGATAGTGCGAGTCATCGAACAAGCTGTAGGTAAATTTATTTTTGTATTTAAGCACAATGATCAATGAAAATGGCATCATATTATTTTGTTGCAAACATAGCAGTTGTCTCATAGGTTTAATTCCTTGACAACCTAGCTATGGACGTCAAGATTCCCTCAAATGAGCCTATATCTTCTTCAAATTCTCTCAACGGAAGAACAATCTTAACAATTGGTATGATAGCTGGGAAATAAAGTAAGGAGCATATCCTAGCAATGAAGCAACAACTAGAGCTATAGAGAAAAAGGAGTCTTTTGTTATATAAAATTTTTAGAAAAATGAATGCAACGCAAAAGATGTTAGAAGCAAAACTCGGGTTGTTTTCAAGTCAACAACCAAAGGTGATGCTATTCACGCACATGTTCATACTGAAAAGAAGTGAAAATGGTTAGAAGTCGACCATGAGAATTTGTATCAACAACAAGCTCAGGCTAAAGCACTTATGCTGAATTGGTGTAAATGCAAGAGTTATTCATAAGAAAAGAACAACGACTGGCAACTAAGGAGCAGAAATTCGGTTTGGATTATGGCATATAGGTAGGAGACATTGCACCACCTATTCTACATGGTGTTTCCAAACTCCATTAGATATTTGATTGGGCAAAGAAGTCAAGAAAATGTTTACTGCTTTTCAATGATAAGGCTGGTGCGTCGCCATGCGTACGTAATAATTAGCACATGAGTAAAGCTCGTGGAACAGATCTATATGCTTTGATCTTTCAAGCTTGAGACCAATCTTGAGACGTTGTTCTTGTTCTTCCCCAAACAAAATAGATCTTGACAATGTTACTATCATTTACCAGATTTATGGAGTTACTGAATTCCCCTTCCACAGCATTTTCAGAAAAGACCCAAGCTTTATTTAAATTTAATAATCAATTGGAAGCAAAGAGAACAACACCATTGTTCTTAAATTTATCCTTGACATCAGGGAAGCTTTCATGGGGAGGGAATGTTAAAGTGCTTAGTCTTGTTTCTAGTTATGTTTCGAATAAGTTAAATAGTGTCATTGGGTTCTTAAACAAAATTTTCTCCAATATGAGTGTGCAATTCTAGTATCCTATTTCTTAGGAGAGAGAGTGTTGAGTCATGGAACAACAACTTTAGTTGTGGTTCTAATTCATATTTGTATTTAAGCACAATGATAAATGAAAAATGGCATCAAATTATTTTGTTACGAAGATAGTGTTTATCTTGGAAGTTTAGGTTCTTCGAAAACTTGGCTACGGAGGTCAAGATTCCCTCAAATGAGCCTACCACTTCTTTAGTTCCCTTATTAGAAACATGATCTAACATATAACAAGTTGTGTTAGGTGTTAGTTCCACCTCGACGGCAACTCTGAACATATTTTACTTTTTCTGGTTTTATCAATGCATCTTGAGAGCTGGGATTTTGAAATGAATAACATTGGTGAATTGTTTACTGACTCTTGTACATCAAAGCTCAAAGGACTAAATTATATTTCCCAAAAAAAAATGGAAGTTAATGCATTTCAAACCCTTAACATGTGAAGTTTATGGCCTTAAACCTTACTGTCCCTCACAATAGCACGGCCCTAAACCTCTGCTGCAGCACAAAAGTTTCGTATTGTTGACCCAAAAACCAATTAATCATGTTATTAAAACTAAAACCCTAAAGCCAAAATTTTCGAAAGTGACGAAATGAAAAAATGCTCACCTTTCGCTTCAGAATCTGAGCAGCAAAAAACTCAACTTCGTAACCAGAAACAAATGGCTCGTGATGGTCGAAGGTGAGGATAGACGTGGCAATGTCCCAAGCTGAATCGGTTTGCTGGAACTGAACCAGCCATTGATTTGCAGCAACGCGGTTACACGATTGGGTATCGTGATTCAGAACGTGGACTGCCTGAGCTAGCTTCATGTGTAGCTCCATGCGGACCAAAGGAATCAATCATTAATCAATTTTAAATGCGAAGAACCACCTGTATCTGGATCGCCTCTCTTGACACAACGACCATTGATCCGATGGTTAAGATAATCCCAAGTGTTGAATTCCCACAGGAAAGAATTTTGCCCTAGGAAGGGAATTTGGGGATATTGGTAAACATCCGGTCCGAAGCTTGCCAAAATTTTCATTTTAGTCACTAAATTTGCTTTATAACATTTTGATCGCTTGTGTGTAGTTATCGCCCTTGTTTGAGTCCATTTTTTAAATTATTTATTTTAAATTTATTTTCCATTATACATTTTTCAGTAAAATAACATTACACGCAAATACAAAAAAATTTCTTAATTTTTAACCATACATTTTTCATAAATCTACAATTCCAAAGTGCATTCTTTCATAAAAATGGATCTCAAACAATAGCATAATTATTAGTTTAGTCACTGAATTAAAGCATTGCAAAGCAATTGACCAAGCTTCAAGGCTTACCAATATTTATTTCCTGAAAAAAGGCAATTTATACATGATTTTATGAAACAAAATGTTGGGAAATGATTATATGGGCGGATTTTGGCATAATTTTAAGTGGGACTCATTTATTCATTTTGGAATATCAAAATTAATTCATGTTCTTCTTAGTGGGAACATCAAAATTATATATTTACTTGTCAAAAAAGATAATCGGGTAAATTAAATATTAAAGTTCAAAGTTGATCAATAAGAAGATAATTATGTGTTGGTGGGTGTCTCATGTAGAAAAAATTAACATTGCAAAGACTAGTTTATATATGCTTGCACTTTCAAAGAGTGTAATCATGTCTAGCATCTAGACTTCTTCCACATACACTCGCAAAAAAGGGTGCAAATCTCGGACCGAATTAGCACCTCGGACTTGAACTTGTATGTGAGTGCAACTTGTGTATACAAATATTGGATTGAGTGGACCAAAATTAACTCATAATGGTTCACGATTTGCCTTTTTTTCTTTTTAATTGTTTTTTTTTTTTCTGTTAATTGACTTTTCAACACCTAAAACTATTGAAATTCTTGTTGTTAAAGATTGTAACACCTATAACTTTCGATCCGTTGAATCACCATTACAGCCTTTTGTAAATGTCATTTTTTCCTTTGTTCTAGATATATTTTTTTATACACTATTAGAGCTTCTTCTTAACTTTTGCATACACATTTTCATTCTTGTGTCTATAATTTTTTTTCAGTTTCTACATGAAGTCTTGGTGTTTTGTTTAATACTAATTCAGTTCATTGGAGTAGAAACAAAAGTGCTCGGGATCTACTAATTTTTTCGTTTATCTTGGAATACAAGTGCTCAAAAGAAATCTCAAAAACTTTTTGATGAGGAATCGAATCTATTTTAAGGACATCATGTAATACACATGCCTCAATTTACAGATCTGTTCTCTTTATATCAATTATTATTTCCTTATTTTATTATTATGTTCTTCCTATAATTAATAAAATTTATTATCCTTCAAATTTGTGTAACAAATTTTAAACACATTTGAAAAATAACTTACAAGTGATTATATTAATCTTCTTTAAGAAATAAATATTTGTCTGATTTTTCAAAAATGGCGACAAAATCAACCAATATAGATGTGGCTATTGGAAACTAAACTGTCATTGAAGTGCCAAGTCCTATCGTGGCCCACACTCTAACTAAATTGTCAAGTCATGCTATGATCCAGAAAGTGGCTCAAACAACTGGCCATGTTGTAACCATTTCGATTAATTATGGAGAAAAGTCAGAGAAATTCAGGCTTTGTTTGATTCACATTTTTTCTAAAATACATTTTCCTCTCAATGGTTTGAAAAAGGTTATAATAGAAAATGTTGTTTTATTTGACCACATTGAATCTTACAAGGTTTTTGACTGAGAATGGTCCAAAACTCAAAAAAGAGGTTGGGAGATATGCAAGCTATATGCACACTTGATGCTTGGAAACATTCTCACTTTCTATTGCCTTATATCATAAACAAATTGACGGCTCATTATATGACGTATATAGTATAGTGAAAATGGCAAAGAAATTATGAAAAACTATGATTAGTCCAGTATAGGAACTCTAAGTGATTCTACATTTGATTTATGTTGAGAGGATGATTTTGACTGAAACCTTCCAAGTGGTTGCTATTATTGAGAAGTGCATTTGGCATGTATAAATTTCAAAAATTATCTTAAATACAAGTAAAAGGAAATGAACATTATAGAATAATTGTTGGACTTTGAATTAAAGAAGATGAAATAAGTTCGAAAAAGAAAAGAGGTTCAATCCCATTGAGGCTAAAGCAAATGTATAGAATATGGTTAAACTTAGAGATGGCAATCGGGTTCATCGATTCGAACCTCCTGCGGCTCAGCTTGGAAAAAGCTCGAGCCCGCCCTGCTCGAAGCTCGGGAGAACCGAGCCCCATTTTGGGGGTGTCGGGCAAAGTCTGAGCCTGCCCATGTGGCTCATAGCTCTTACGAGCCTATATTTAAAAAATACAAAAAAAATAATTTAAAGGCAACAACACGCTCCCTTTTAAAGTAACGTGTTGCTGCCTAAAATAGGCAGTAGGTTTCTGCCAAACTAAAACCTTAAAAAAAGGCAGAACAGGCTGCCTTTTTTATTCACTATATTAAAAGAGAAGATGATTAAGCCCCCGTTTTGCCCATTTCGTCGATATGAAAATGGGAGGAATAGTATCTTTTTGAAAAATGAGTGGTTGAAAAAGAAGTAAAAATTTTCGATTTACGTGTAATATTATTTTATAAAAGATTGAATGATTGAAAATGAGAGAGAGAAAAATGAAATGTAATGGAATTTAAATTAATGAGGGCCAAATGGGGGCTAAAAGAGGGGATGAGGGCCTTCACTGTTCATTTATGCACCCTCATTTTCACACTTATCGAATTTTACACTGTTGATTATCCAGTTCCATAAAGCAGCCCACCTTTAACTTTTCCTTTCCCTTTCATCCATCGAAGAAGAGCAACTCCCAATTTCTAGACACTGTTGAGCTTCAAAAGATCAGTCTTTTTCCTTTTTAGCAACTTTCACTATTTGTATCACTAACCCTACTCGCTGCTAGGATCCGTGGAAGCAAAATCCTACAATTTAAAAACTTCTCAAAAACCTTAGAATTCTCTTCATCGTAACCTTACTCTTTGCAGATACTATCCTCTCAATTATTGAGTTATTTCATATGTGAGATCTGGTTTTCAATCGGCTTCTCCTTCTTCCAACGAGCCTTCACTTTCCCTTCGTGAGTTTCTCTGTCTTGATGGATTTTCAGAAACAATATCACAGATTTGATCGAAATCGATTTTTCATTCCTCTTCCATTTAAGGGGTTTAGGCACTGATATTGTACAACATTTTTATATTCTCGATTAAAATTCAAGATTTTAATTTTTATTAAATCATTAAAATTTGTTCCTCTAATTTTTCTTTCTCGAGTCTTAAATTGTGTCTTTGCATTCTTCTATGTTCTCGATGAACAAGAACATATGAAGATTTTTTATTTGCACTCTACACTATCTTCTATTAGCAGTTACTTATTTTTGAAAGTTGTCTAACTTTCTACCACTCACCCGCCTCTCTGAGTAGCTGAAGGACTTTGTTTGAAGCCCCAAATTTGGGTACATAATAGTGTTCATCCTTATCCTATATTTTGTGGCTTCATATTGAGACAATGATATGACTTTCAATCAAGTAGTCTTCGAAATAATAGTTAAACCACATATTATTATATTTGAGAAGATTTAATGGTTTCTTGAACATAGATTTAATGACATTAAGTGTATGTTTGACTCATGAATCATATAGCACTGTTGAATCTCTATGTAGTTTTAGATGCTGTTATTAAATAATTCTCATTAAACTTCAAAGAGTCATTCTTTGAAGAGTAAAGAACGTTGTTGGGATTGTTGAAAATTGGTTGACTAACTAATTTATTAACCAATATTGATGTTATCTTTTCATATGCTGATGTGATATGCTAATTGGGTTTTAGCTTGATAGTTAGAATAATTTTGCATAAGAGGATTGGTAAAATCACTACAATCAAATCTCTATTTTATGTAAAATTATTTCGATGTTTCGCACTATTTTAGTCACTTTTATAGCAATCTAATTTCATCCAAATAGAAAATGAAGCTAGCATCACATTTATCATGATCATACTTGGGATTTTATTGCTGAAGGGGAGGTTTATATTTGATTTGTTATCTTTAAGCATTTAATTGATTTTCTTCACTTTTATATCCTAGTTTATATGTAGATGTTTAGCTTCTATATTTTACCCCTGTTTGGCGGTTGCTTGATGTTCTTCCTTCAAAAGCTATAAATTGAGAGATTTATTTGACAACAGAAGGGGAGTCGAATAGAGTGAAATCTTGCTCAGATTTGATTTGGGGCATCAATAAATTATCTTTGCTCAAAATAGTAACTTTATTCATTTATTTTAATTTTTTGAGTAGCCATCCGATGTAGTTGGTAAGGTGTTGTTCGGAGTTCAAATCTCTGATGCAAAGCTGAGAGCCTTAATCAAAGGTAATGAAAGAGCAAATTGATAAAAAAAAATCCCTTATTATGCTATTTAATTTCCTTTTATAGATAAGTTTGCTAGATTTGTGTCATTCTATAATAGATTTAAGTAGTGTTAATTGAAAGTTGATAAATTAAGTGGGAAAGTAGTCTCCTTATTCTTTTAAGTGATTTTGAATCCAATTGGAGTGCAAATGTGCACTTGGTAATTAGTAGTTGTGATTTAAGTGTAGTAGAGTTCTGCCAATGTGGTCGGATATTCCCCGTTTGGTTTGGGTTTTTTTCTTGTAGTATTATGTCTCTCTTGTTTTAGAAACATTTGAGAAAGTATAGAGAAAAAGAACATGTTTAGAATGATGTTCAATCAGCTGATTTGTAAAGGAACCGGCAAATAGAAGAATAGAAAATAAAGTTACTACATCAAATATCTTTAGGCTCTTGGCTTGTTATATCTTTCCTTTGAAGGTCAAAATTAAAATAAACCAGTATTCTTTAGTCAAAATTATACATGAAATGGCCCGGTAATCAATAACATTCTCCACATCAACTTGTGATTTAGATTTAAGTCAATTCCTAAGGTTGTTTGGATACTTTTGTTAAATATTTGGTATGATCATTAAATTCTAATTAACTATTGTGTTTACTACTTTTAGGAAACCTTGTTCAGGCTATAAACTAAAGGAGATGTCTGGCAACAAAATTTTGTAGTTGATGATGAAAATGAGGAATTGGAATCTAGAACTTCTAATAATCGAACATATGTGCTTATTGTGCAGGTATAAAACATAGATTGTGCTGACTAACTAGAAATCAGATTAATCTTTTTTTGATTTCTATATTTTGGATTTCAAGGAAGTTACGAATGATACGAGCAAGATTTCCTTAAATACGGAAGAGAAGTTTTCTCTTAAGAAGTCAACTACTGTTCCCGAGGTTGTAATATATTATGTTCTTTAAATTTTTGCTTTTTCCTTGGTTTGAAATTGTTCTTTAGTTTGAGTAATCTCAGTTTGAATTTTTGTATTCCCAAATATAATACCACTATATGTTTGTCAAAATCGGAACTATTTATTTGTCTATAATTCTTAGCCATATGTTATATGGTTACTTTTCAAGCACAATTGTTTGCTTATATCATAAAAATAGAGAGAATTTGTATTGCAAAATTGATTTTCATCCTCCGAAGATGACAAAGCCAACAATCTGGCTAGGAAGAGGTTAGATCTCTATTTCTGGTCGCAGTTTCAGTTTAGTTACTATTTCTTTTTTTTGTGTTGAAGTCTTCTTATTTGATTGTTGACATACGAGTTTTGCGACTTTAATCCCGACCGGCAAGTCCAAACTCTAAGACCACTTCAATAATTACATTTATCCTTGTCTCCCTTTTCGCTTCCACTATGGCACCACTTTTTCTAATCCCATCCACCTACTCTACCATATAGGGTTGCATGTGGACGACAAGCTAATGTCGAGGAAATGGGACAAGGGCTGAGCCGTGGACAATTCCAAGAAAATGATCTATTTGTTGCAGTCCAAATTGGAGAGCTTGAAACAGTTGAAGCAAAGGCCAATGAGAACCCAAATTTGTTGAGAGTGAAAACCATTCATAGGAAACTTTCTGCACTGTATTTTGTTGTTAGGCAGATCGAGGTGGGTTTTCTGTGATTTATGATTATTTGTATTTTCTCATTTTATTTGACTTAAGTCTGTACATTTTGATCAAATTTTCTTTGTTATCTATTTTCGTAGGTTATTTGTGTGCTTTTAGATTGGTGTAGTAATCCAAATATCTTTAATCGCCGCAAATAGGTGTTTGTTTGATTCTTGTTTTAAGGAAATCTCATCCTATTATTTATATTTAATTTTGAGTTTGAGATGCATTTTTCTTAGATTTTTTTGGTTTGAATTTCAAATTCAAAATAACTTATAAGGCCTAGAAAAGCTAAAAAAATTGTTCAAATTTTTCTCAGATTATGTTTTGCAAACATTGAAGGTATCCTCAATCTGGGACAGCTTGGGGACTACTCTCATTCTTTCTTCCTTATGCTTTAGACTTGTCCAATGAAGCCGAACAAGTAAAGAAAAAAAAATGAAAACTCGCTTTTTGTATATTTTGTTCTAAGAATCTTGAATTTTTTATTTTTTTGCGCCTTTGGTTAGATTACGAAATTCTCGTGTTGGATCAACAAAGTACTCTTGATTTTTTTATCCCATTAATTGGTTTTTAATTTTTTATGGTTAGAATACCATATTCTTATGTTAGACTTCATGGAGTCTAATTGTAGTTGAATCTTCCTTCAACTGCGAATCTGACCTAATATTTCCTTCAACTGTTAAATCTCCTTTCAACTGTGAATGATGAGTTCAGAACACAAATAATCGGAAAATTGGTTATAAATGGAGGATTTGGGCTTCGTAATATAAGAAGAAAAGTTGCATGCAAATAAAGTCTAAGAATTCAAAGCATATATCACAAGGAACGGAACAAACAGGCACAATACTACTAAGCCCTCATTTGGCCCCCATTAAATTCCATTGACATTTCATTTTTATCTCTCACATTTTCAACTACACAATCTTCTATAAAATAATATTACATGTAAATTGAAAACTTTTCCTTCTTTTTCAACTACTAATTTTTCAAAAAATACCATTTTACTCATTTTCATTTCTAGAAAATGGCGGCCAAGCGTGGGCTAATTATATAGTGGAGAGGTATTTAGATACTTTCAAAGTTTACCTTGATTGGAAGTCTAAATTGATTAAGAAGGCTATAGAGTGCATTCATATCTTAGTTGCTATGAGAATATCAATACTATTGAGAAGATCAAATTTATTGAGAAGGAAAAGAAGTATTTTAATCTAATCGACCAACACAAATCACTTTGTTCTTTTTACTTAACCCACACTTTCCCACCCCAATCTCCCATCAAGCACTTCATAAAATTGTCCCACTATTTTGTTTTAATTCATTACATTTGTATTGAATTTTTGGGATGAACTTCAACTCTTGATGGGTTGGCGGTTGCTACTATGATGGGATTCTTTGGTAAAAAGATTTTTAGTTGAAAAGATTAAACCCCCGTTTGGCCCCCATTTATTTGGAAATGAAATTGGTGAAATAGTGTTTTTTTTCTGAAAAATGAGTAGTTGAAAAAGAATGACAAATTTTCGATTTACATGTAATATTATTTCATGTAAGATTGTGTGGTTGAAAACAGGTGAGAAAAAAATGGAATATAATGGAAAGAAAATTAATGTGGGTCAAATGGGGGCTAAAGATCAAAATTAGCTCGAGCTAATCGTTCTGTTAGGAGGTTCAATTAAATTTTTTGGGACATTTGATGATTTCTATGTTACGTTTCCGCTTCTTTTGTTAATTGGTTTGGAGTCGGCATTTAACTGAAGAGGATTAATTGAACTTTTAGCGTAATTAATACAGATAACTTTCATTTGATACACTTCTCTTTTATGGTGTTCTTTTATTTTTCCCCCCCCCCCCCCCCCCCCCCCCCCCCCCCCCTCAAAAAAAAAGGAATCTCCCCTCCACCTTTCTATTAGATTTTACTAGAGTTTCGACCGCTTTATGCTTTTTTCCTTTGTGAATGTTTCTTCTCCTTATTTATCTTTTGATGTCTTGAATATTCTAGGATGATTTCTTATAATCATTTGTAAACTAAAGTTGATGATAAGTTTGATCATTGCTCACTAAAAGAAATTGGGCAATCAACCATCCAATAGTTGACTACTTCTATTTGTATATTTGTATCTCTTGTCGTGAGAGATGTTAAAATTACATTACTAAATGTACTTACTGGTGTATGCGTAAATGAGCTTTTGTTAAGAAGAATCTTTTTGTGATAGGTAGAGCAAACAATTTTCTCAATAAATACTGTCGGTGGTTTTCTGTTACTAAAACATTCTCATACGATGATGTGGATGCCATATAGGTTGTAAATTCTGCTCAAATTATATGATGATGAAGAAATGATATGCATTTTATTTCATTTATTCAATTGCATAGGCCTGTAGATATTTCACATCAGAATAGATGATTTCAATTTTCTAATTTCTTAATTTAGATTTTGAAACATTTCTCAAAATGTCAATGTCTCTGAGATCAAGAAAGCTTAATACAAGCTTCCTGTGAAATATTGAGTTCTCCCCATTTTTAATTATAATTTATTTATTTCTTTTGTATGTTGAATGTCGTTTATTTATTTATTTCTTTGCATAGCCATTCAGATAAAAATCCCGGTTCGAAGTTGAAGAAGTAGTTTGTGAAAATAGCAAATGCTCTTGAGATAACTGTTCACTTTTTTTTTTTTTTTTTTATTCGGTTGTGAATTCCATTAATTTTCTCAAGGTAGATTTATGTATCTATGTATTGAATGCAATTATATTATATGCAATCAAAGAGGATGTTGATTCATTCACAACAACTTGCTTATTACTTTATCTGATAAAGATGATTTAAGATAAAATGTAGGATTTCTATTGTGGTCTAGGCTATAAAATTATTGTGGTATAGAAAAATGATGTAAATCATTTGTCAAATTTCTAAGTCATATATCGATTACTTCAAGATTTAAGTGGTTTAGGCACGCCGTAATTTTTTTTTCTTTTTTTTGGGTTATATCATGCTGTTAAACTATAAGATCAATTAACTAATAGTGCAGATGATGTAATTTATCATGCTCTTGTAAATGACTTACGTAATAGTTGTAGATTTTGAAAGATTAAGCTCTACAAGGGAGCAGTGTTATGCAATTGTACTCGGAGAAGATTAGTAAAATGTTTTATTATGCCTACACTTTGATGCATACCGTATATATGCTTAGAGTTTAAGATAGTTTACAATTTTTGCCTTTTTCTTTTTTCTTAGTAGTGAAATCAATAAACCATTTCATCAAAGCTATGCTTGATATTTGTGGTATTCTCTTCATAAATAGGAAAATCAATTTAGCTAGAGCCTGGAACACTATTGCAATAACTCACTTGTAAATGAGTCATCTACCACTGTTAATGAATGATTCTACATAAATTATCATCGTCGTCATTATTTTTCTCTCATGGCAGAAAGATTGCAAGGGTCTTAAGGAGTTCTTTTTCTCAAGTCTAAAGTTTACACTGCCATAATGAAGCAAGTTACTATTCTATTGCCAAGTTTTGTTTGATCAATTCAGTGCCATGATTAGGATTTAATGATAAATATACGATTTAAATTTATGATAGAAGTATATTGATCCTACCATTGACCTTGACAAATATTACCTCTCATAAATGATGAGTTATGAAAGGTTGGGTTATGCAAATGATCTGGCTTTTGATTTCTGCTGCAATAATGTTTAACTACAGTTGAAATTATTAAAACCGTGTTCAATTTAGCTATAATAGTGTTGACATGAAGGCACATTCTTTGCATGTGAATATTACGCTATCAAATAAAGATGAATAATCCATCGATGAAGAAAATTTAAATTTACAATGATACTTTGAAGCTTAAAATTGATAGAGGACTCGCTAATTTTTGTAGTATCTAAGCGATATGGTTATGCATTTTGTGTCAAACCTTGAGTATGTAGTAGGAAGGGAGAGTTCAAAAGTAATAGGCTCTAGAAACTTGTGTTTTGGTGTTTTTTTGGTGAGCACTCACATGCTATGTATGAGGAACACAAATTTGTTGCCAATATATCCTTCCAGCTTGGTATTTCATTTGAATTTGACAGTGACCATTTGGAGTGGTAATGTTGCAATTTCAAACGATATCACAAACTAGGCTCTAGGCTTTATTCTCTGCTCGAAAAGGCTCGAGTCGAGCCTAATTTTGCTCGGTCGGACTCAAGCCCCAAAAAAAGCTCGATCATTTTGCCCTAGTTGAACCTGAACCCAAGCCTCAAATTTCGGCTTACGAGCCGACTTGATTCGACTTGTTGACACCCTAGCTAAACTTCTAAGACGTACGAAAACAAGTCTAAGCAATTTGATGGCGAAAGGGCTAGGTTGGGATTGAAAAATATGAAATTTCTAAGAATAAGTTTTAAAAAAATGCTTCAACTGTGACAATGTAAGTCGCGAATCTTCGGAGTACAAATTGCCAAAGAAAAACAATAAAAAAGAAGCAGATATGGTTGATTGCATGGCACATGATGTGTTTGAAATGAACCTTTCAGTAATTTATTTTTGAAGTGAATTTTGGTGGGATACAAATCCAAAAGAGTGCTGAATTGACACAGTGCTATAAGGCATATGTGCTTCGATAAGAGTTGTTTAATTTTTTTAGAGCAATTGAGAATGGTGAAAAGTTGCTATTGAAAAATTCAGCAACACTTGAAATCAGACAAGGTAGCTATGAAGATGACTTATGGGACAGAGCTTACTCATAACAATAGTATGTGTCGAAAATCAATAAGAACCTAGTATTTGGATGTCTTCTAAATAAACATGATTCTATATAGCATTTGAGTTGGACAAAATTATTTTTTGTCCAAGAATGAAATGTTTGTCTGAAAAGGTTATATGTCTGATGGATTGTTTAAGCTCAATGTAGTGATTTTGTAAACTGAAAATGAATAAAACCTATTTCTTTTGCTTACTTGCTTATTAGTAGTATGGTGGATTAGGGCATGTTAATCATGATACTTTATGTAAATTAATTATCTTGAATTAAATACGACACTTGTTTTGAGATAAAATTGATAAGGTCATCATTTCAATCAATTGA